ATGTTTTTTGGTGGTGGTGGAAGTCCATTTGGTTCTCGACAAGAACATCGTGGAAAAAATCTTGTTCATCAATTAGCAGTTTCATTAGAAGAACTTTATAATGGAGCTGTCAGAAAATTAGCATTACAAAAAAATGTTGTATGTGATAAATGTGAAGGTATAGGCAAACAAAAAAAAACCACAAATTTATATTTTTCTTTTATGTAAATATTTTTTTTTTATTTTTAGGTCGTGGTGGTAAAAAAGGTGCCGTATCAAAATGTACAACATGTAATGGTAGTGGTCATGTTGTTCGTATTAATCAAATAGCACCGGGTATGATACAACAAATTCGATCACATTGTTCAGATTGTGAAGGTCAAGGAGAAAAAATCAATCCTAAAGATAAATGTAAAACATGTGATGGAAAAAAAATTGTTCGTGAAAGAAAAATTATTGAAGTTCATATCGATAAAGGTAATGAAGAAAAATAATGATTATAAGTTTTTCAAAAAAGAAATAATTTTTTTTTTTTATAAAGGTATGGAAGATGGAAAGAAAATTACATTTAGTGGTGAAGGTGATCAAGAACCAGGTCTTCAACCAGGTGATATTATTGTTGTTTTGGATGAAAAAGAACATGCTACATTTAAACGAGATAAAACTGATTTACATATGAAAATGCAAATAACTTTAATTGAATCATTATGTGGTTTTCAAAAAGTTATTAAAACACTTGACAATCGACAATTAGTTATTACTTCATTACCAGGTATAATACAAATAATTTGAAAATAAAATTAATTTATTTTCTTGTTTATTTTAGGTGAAATTATCAAACCAGGCGATATAAAATGTATTTTAAACGAAGGAATGCCGGTTTATCGCAATCCATTAGAAAAAGGTCGTCTTGTACTTCATTTTGATGTGAAATTTCCAGATAAAAATGAATTACGACCAGAAAGTATCGCTAAATTGGAAAAAGTTTTACCACCACGTACACCGGTTCAAATACCAATGAATGCTGAAGAATGCGTTTTGATTGAATATGATCCACGTCAATCTCAACGTTCGCATAGACATGAAATGTATGATGATGATTCAGGTCATCATGGTGGAGCAACACAAGTCAATTGTGCAACACATTAATTGACTTATTGACACATCAATATCTTTTTCTTCAATTAATCATTCTTGGATTATTTTTTTTTTCTTTACATATTGCGTGTGTGTGAAAGTAATGGAGTAATATCTTGAAAAAGAAAAAAAACACGATCTAAATAAAGAAGGGAGAAGGTATTTATTATTCATATTTTCTTACTATGTCAAAGAATCTACGAAAATGCTTCGGTATTGTTATATGAATTATATTATATAAACATAATGATCTTCTTTTGAATCATTAACTTCGTCTTCTGATTCAAACGGTTTCGATCGATAATATTCATTCAATCAATAAGAATCATTGTATTTGACTCTGAATTCTAACATTTACTAGACTGTAAATTCAAACAGAATATATAGTGATGAACAAGAGTACAGAGCAGCTATATTTTTCAGTTTGTGTCTTGATCATAATTGTTAGTAAGAATCTGAAAACAAACATTTGTGCAATTGGTAAAATTCTCTATCAGGATTGATATATCCGAAGACTTCAACAAAACTGCATGAGTGATGCAATCCAGAAAATCGTCTTTCTAACTTTCACTCGAAGATTTTTGCTCATGACCATTAGAATGTTGCTTTCTTGAGATATTCAACATCTAAAAAGTGATCATGTGTCAATAATAGATACATAAAATGCAGTATTTTAAGAAGAAAACATTCCTTTGAACCGAAAGTTTGAGAAAATACAAATGACTATAAGAAGTATTCATGTGCAAAGTTTCAGAAAATTATTTCCAGATTCAATTCTCTCAAATGTTCATTGTCAGGTTTCGACAACTCAATAAAATGATCACAATTCAAGAAGTACAATGTATGGAGATAAACTCTCCTAGGTTTTTTTTTCTGGTCTCATCGTAGTCTACGAACTGGAATACATCAGATTCAAAACAGTGCATCATACTTGAAAACCTTGCATCGTAAGCAGTTTTGTTGAAGTCTTCGGATCTACCGATTCCGATAGATATTGCTCATGACTATATATTAACCCATAAAGAAAACTTGTATATGTTTGCCTATTTTGGAATACAAAACTGGAATTTAAGAACTAGATTGTAACTCTGGCGAAGTTCAAGTAGAGAAGGCGGCTGAGTGAACGAGCTCCAACTGTGTTAGTACATGATCCTTTCATGCGCTACAAATTATCAACATGAAAAGCTGTTTTATTTGTATCCATATTCTTGTCAACAAGTTCATTTTTAATGCAAAAGATAAACAATAGGTATTCGACATTCTAAAAGTTTGCATCGAATGTTTATATCAATTGTTTTTGTTTTGTAACTTATAAAATAAAATTACAATAAAGAATACTGTACGAATAATAATATATCGAAGGTAACTCATTTGTTTGATTTGTGTTTTTAATGTATAGGAAGATTTGAAGCAGTTTTTTAATATTAGTTCTATTGTAATATGTTCTTGGAAATATAGTTTTGTCATGTTGTTTTTATTAAATATAAATAAAATATCATTTTCTGTATTCAGTTTTTTTTCCTATTTATTAATTATTAGTATCTCTCTTCTTTGATCGATATAAACCGTGCTAAAACTTTTTTCTAGACGTTTGAAACTTCTTGGTAGATAAGTTTAAGTCACACAAGACAATAATTCTTAATTATAAATAGGGTTGATTAATAATTCTGACAAGATTAAATAAAAATATGAAAGCAAAGAGGTAGTATTAGTTTTATTTTATTTTATTAGATATTTAAAGTAGTTGTCCTGATTATTTATACAAATTTTCATCCTTTGACTAACTTTTCTTCTGAAATATTGTTAACTATTTTGAAAGCTGCACTAGTCAAAGATCACATGATGTTGAGTCTAGTGAAAATCGTAGATGCAATCTTATATTCATATGTTCTGGTGTCAAATAATTAATACATGTGCCCTGATAGTTCAGAACAAAACCTTTTGTCGTTTAAACCAGTATATGTTGTCTAAAGAAACCATTCATTACACCTAAATGCTATCTGGAAGCAGAAAACAGCAAGACATGGTCTCTCATAAACGCCATTTAACGTTTCAGTGCCGTTTATAAGGGGCAATTTTCTGCCTTCTAGTTTAGATCACATAATTCGTGACAATATGATATTCGACGCAAGGTGCACATGGCTATAAAAGATATCTTTCCCAATGAAAAAGTGTTGATCCTGGCCCCAGAAACAGCTTGCTCATATCTATATATTCCTAATAAGGAAACTGAAAAATATAATAAAACTAGTTAAATTCTGTTTCTTAAATGTTTTCATTTATGTTTACTTTCGAACATCAAAGTTAAAAATCTCTTGAGTTTTAAGATTTATTTTAATTAATGATTAAACCATATGGAATAGTATCTGAATTTTAATCAGAAAAAGAACTTATTTTAAAACATTTTAAATATACATAATAATTAATATATAGTTACTGGTATTACTAATGCAGCTGTAGTATTTTCACTATTATCAAAACGATTGCTCAGCATTTCAAAGATATACAATGACCAGTATGAAATCCTTTTCTTTCATTATTGTGTAGCATTTTGTCTTGAGTTTTAATTTTTTGTCTCGATTTATTTTTATATACAAAGTGGAACTGAATTTGTTTTATTCTTCACTACATAACAAAAATTGTCTATAAAAAAAACACTTTTTATTATAATATAAAGGCTCTCCCTATATCGTTGTTCTGTTCTTGTATCCCGTAAACTGATTGGTCCGAATAGTTATTCAATAATGGCAATTTTTATATAATTTCTTTTTACTCATTTCTTTTTATTCTTAAATAGTTACGATTTGATTATCTTCGTCAAAGACACAGAATATGATTATATATATTTAATTCGTTATTTCATTAAATAATATGAGAAAAAATAGTATTAAAAAAACAATTGTTTCTGATTAGTACGAAGGTAAAACTTATGAACAAAAAGAAACATGTTAAACAAAAGAAAATATACTAAAGTTTGATATTTGGAAAGGTAAATAATAAAAGAACAACACATTGTCTTGTTCAATAAAAATAAATCATTTTCTTTTTAATAGGTATCAAACACAGCAAAAATATTTTATTTAATAGCGAACATGATCATGAGTTAGATCTTCAACTAGACAATATGAAAATCGTTTTGATTTACTGATTAATATTGTTTTTTTTCTATCATCAGTTAAATTATTTGTTTTTATGTGCGTATTATAGTGATGAGATGACATTTTCATACCAAAAAAAAAAAATCATGACCCAAGTACAGTCTCGAAGAATAGTAAAGTTAAGAAATAACGTCAACAATAAGAGGTGTAATCTTTGAATATTATTACTTCCCTTATACATTAATCAAAAGACGATTATGAGAACTACTTTCGTTGAGTGCAAAGTTTTTCTATTTGGATAAGTTTCAGTAGATATGAATGGACTGACTCTGTCAAAATGAGATTCTTTAAACTGATCTCATTTCAATATACATCATGAATTTATTGTCTATATATTCTAAGTATTCTCAATAAGGGTTCAAAAAAAACCTGGAATAGCTTTAGAACAAAAGTCTTCTTATTTAGGTTTTGATGTAGACTTGTCACTTAGGTTTGGATTTATATCTGAATTGAAATAAATCTATATAAATAGTTTGGAATTTGATAATAGTTCTTTTAAATGGAATTGAACTGTTCTAAAAAATATTCTTCTTACGAATAGAAGAACTTTGTGCTGTCTCGAGGAACTTTTCTTTCAAAACTTTGATATCTACCTTATGTTATCAAACTCAAGAAATTTAAGCCTTAAGAATCACGTCTAAACTCAAATTAAAAACAACATCATAGCAAATAAATATCAAGAAGAATATTTATTCGTTTGTAAATGTATCTTTTGAATAATTTTAGATGTCATCATCATCATTATTATTATCGAATCTTCGTATTCTTGCTCATCCTCATTACTCATTTAATATATTTCTATCTGTTTTTTATCTTGTATTAAAACAATTTATACCAAAATCTTTATGTTCATATGTATTTGTAAATGATACAATAACAACACAAGATACACAAGTATTATTACTTTTA